TTTTTAAAAGACAAAAACGACGTAGTTTTGCGGTGGATACCAGAGGTGTTAACGGATGTTAAATACTCTGTCACCGGTTAGTTTTTTTGGCCTGGTCAACGAATATTTATGGTTCAAATGGGTAGTCACCGCTATGTTCATGTCTACAATCACCCCATATGAAGTTGGTGTCTAGAATAGCCAAAATTTGAAAGTTGGGATATTCACTGACATTTTTCCCGTATTACAAATGATAGCGAATATTATTAGAATCTCAATATGTTACTTAATGGAAACTAAAATTAAATGGTCGATCGCTGTATATCACTTAACAGATATAACTAATTCCATATTTTTCCTTAAAACATTATTATTATTATTCATTCATTGAGATATTGTTAATATATAAAATCATTAATTTCGGATTTCTTAGTTTCCTAACTAACAATACGCATCTTCTAAAAATATATTCAGACTAATTTTGAACGTTCTTGTCCTAATTCCATCATGTCCATTTGTAGGAGTCAACACAATCAAAACTTGTCAATATAAATAGTTTTTACTTATATACTTGCTATATTAAGGTTTGTTCTTCTGATAGTCGTTTATGTGCTTTAATCATCTCTTTTTTCTCACGTCAATCATCTATATTTATCTCTGCAAATAATTAGATATATTCTCTAATTAATATTGATTGATTGTGAGGATTATATATAATCGTAGACCATGAGCTCATGATGAATAACATCAGAAAATTCACACTGACTCGATCTCTTTCTTTGAAAATGTTCAAATATTAATAAGTCTTGCACCATGAACAAACAATTCCTTTCTTATTTCATGGTTTTGGTGGTTCTCTTTTCAGGTAATTAACTTTAATATAGAATGAGTTTGAAAATATTTATACGACTTTAGCTATTGAACTAATGCTATAAAAAAGAAACTGTTACGAAAGTGAAAATAACAGGGAGCATTGCAAATGTAAAAGATTGAGGCGCACATATGTTTATCGTTTTACGTTTTAATATTACTAGGCTAATACCCGCACAACGTACGGGCTTTTCCATCCATAATTTGTTAGTTATAACAATTTACATCGATTGAATTAATTTAATAAATAATCCTTTCGGTCTTTTTTTTCTTCTAATATTTATTTTGATGTATTCCTCTAACTCTCGGGTAAATAATTCATTCTATTTTTTGTTTTTAATATATGTTTAATTACATTGTTTAACACTTATTTACAATTACTTACCTTAAAAACAAATATATATATATATATATATATATATATATATATATATATATATTTGGTTATCTATAAAATAATTTTAAATAAACGAAAAAGTAGTGTTGATATAGTATCTTATATTTGCATTAAAATAAACTATAGATTCATCTATATTCATTGTCACTAATCCTATATATATTATAGTATATGAAAACATGAAATAAATTCTAATATCATATTATTTATTTTTATACGTTAATGAAATCTAACATTTAATTAAAATTCTATTGATTTTATGTTACACATAAGTTTAAAATTTATACAGCTAAATTTAAATAAATTAATTTCTATATGAGTTTGATATACTTTTGTAACTAATTAAATTGAATTTACTGAATTAATAAGTTAAATATGTCAATTTTCATATAAGCAAGAATTAATGCATTATTTAATAAAATAAAATAATATATGTAATATGTTGTGACACATGGCACTCTCTCCATTGCTGACGTGGCGGAAAGATGGAGAGAGTTGGCCAACTTTTATATATATGATTTTGTGTGGAGCCCACCATCACTATGCGGTATAGTAACTTATCTTTTCTACCTCTATATAAACGATCGAACGATCGTTTGTAATTCACAACTCAATAACAAAAACTTCGAGTATAAGAAGTAATTCTCTCGCTCTCTTTCATTTCTTTTTATTCAGTATCCCGATCCTTCTGCGGGTATAATTTTCTCTTCATTAAATATTTATATATCCACCATAAAATCAAATACTCTTTTATAACATAAACATACTAGTAATGTTTAGGCTAACTATTTACATTTTTTCATCTATCCATTTCATATATATATCTATGAACTCAGTGCCGGCCCTGAGCACAGCCACTTGAGGCAATGGCTTGTGGTCCCCAAATTTTATGTTGCAAAATGAGGCTCCCAAAAATATTTTATGTTGCAAAGAGAGGCCCCATTTTCTTGAAATTTTAAGATTTGGTATTAGTTTTTAAAATATATCTATAAAACCCAACAAGTTTTTTCTTTTTTGCTGGGGCCCCATATTGTTCAGGGCCGGCCCTGTATGAACTTATACTCACTATTCGTTGCAGTATTATCGGTTGAATTCCTAAAACTGAGGCACAAAAGAGATGCAGACAAGAACTATAGCCGGGAAAACAATGTGTGTTGGCAGAGTGTAGAGAACTGTGTTTCAAAAAGTTAAATGGATTTGGAAGTTGTCTTGAGAAACCACCAGGCTCTGATAATTACACATGTAATTGTTACTATAATTGTGGTGCTCAATGATTTTTTAATTTTTAGAACGTTCTATAATGTAGACTCAGTTCTCAGTTAAACATTAATATACTTTTCTATGGGTTACAAAATCAAATTTTATCTTCAAATACAAAATATAATAATTTAACGAATGATTGAGAAAATAGTAATAAATGAATGAGTTATTCACATATTTTGTGGTTATGTAATCAAAACAAAACAATATATTTGATGTGGGTCCGCATCTAGTTTCTTATAAATTTGAAGCTAATTTACAGTAAAACCTCTATAAATTAATAATGTTGGGACCATGATATTTTATTAATTTATAGTGATATTAATTTATCTATAAATTAATACTTATTAATTTATAGCGTAAATTAATATTTATTAATTTATAGAAATTTTTGTTTCAATTATGAATTTTTTTTTTAAATTACGAGGTAATGCAATGTGATCTAAATAAAATTAATGTTTTGGATGTTATATGTTTTATAGTTTTAGCCTTAAACACTTAATATTTCACAGAGAAAATAATTTATTTGACAATGAATAACAACGATTATAGAATTCACATATACAAACGATATACATAAATTAAAATTCACAAATAGTGACACCCATTGTTGTATTTTAAAAACCTATACGACTATTAAAACAAAAATTATGCATATTCAAAATTTGAAAACTTAAAAAAACTTTTGGCTATTTTTATGAAAAACACTAAAACTATTATTTTTATATATATATATATATATATATATATATGCAAATTTATATGATTATTAATTTATGATATTATTGGGACTATATTTTTACATAGGATTTCAAAAAACTTATTATCTTATTATCTTATCGAATTTGGTTAATTTTTATACTGGCCCGACTCGGGACCGGCCAAATTTATTAATTTATCGTGTTTATTAATTTATCGAGTATTAATTTATAGAGGTTTTACTGTATATATTTTCTTGAATGATAATTTTGAGAATTGATTCATCGTTTACCTTTTTGTGATCAAGATTTTTGTTTTATCGTGTTTCTAAACTAATGACTAAAAAATTCAATTCTTTTGAGGAACCATATCCATCAGAATGTTGGTAGACAGATAAACCATCAATGGAGCTATGTAATATCTGAAGCAGTTTTAACTTCAAATGCAGGTTTTTTTTGTTTTTGTTGCTTACTAAGATCATATACAATCAAAGTCTAATTTGTAAAAGCCATCATTTGAGAAGTCAGATTTCCTCTTAGTACCTGCCACAGAAACAGGAGTCTAAAATGTTTGTTCGAGTCTTGTATTGGTTAAATTTCAAAGTGTTACGATAATAAGCTTTAGGTGTAAAAAGAACTGAGTAGCTTGATTATAGTGATGTCAGAAGATGAAACAAATTTAACTACATGAAATGTTTATTACAACTATCAAATGGCTATGTCTGTCAGTTGCAGCCATCCGTACCCACACCGGTCTCGTATACTTCGAGCCATGGATGCTGCTGACTCAACCGCAGGTCTTATCTTCGTCATTGCTTTCTCTACTTGAATTCTGACACCAACATCCATCTGCTGCCAGAGAGGTTATTAGAGATCTAGAGAACAGAAATTGATTGTGATAACACTTACATTAGAAGCAATGAGGTTGAAAGTAGAAACCTTTTCTAGAGAGCATTGTGTGTCTAAGATGTGGCAAAAGTATGATAGCTGCCTGTACAAGTCTGCTTCAGTGTACTGTAATGAGACAAAGGATGGGAGTCAAAAGTTGTCCTATAAAGCAACAGAAAGATAGGAGTTTCTTACTTACAAGGACGATGAGGGCTTATACCTTTCTTAAGAGGGTTCCACGACAGTTAGGATAGTTTGGGCAAACGGTTCCCCGTTCACAGTCACCGAGCAGACGAAAGTTGGGGCTGCGTGTCGTGTATTTGCAAGACTCATCGTCACACTGTTGAAGGCAAAATGTACAAGAGACATTTCGTAAACATGACTTAATAATAACAGATGTTCAGAATAAACGAGGCAAGTGACAAGGTTTTATGTGCACCATCATTATGTCTTTGTAGTACATTGACACAAACCCATCAATCTGCCTTTTCACCTGAAATGCATGATAATAAGTTAATTACCTTCAAAAGCATTTGTTCAACAAAAGAATCCTTTTCAACAAAGTTTTGCCTACCTGGTTAGCTATCATTGCAGGGGATATTCTTCTCGTGCTACCTTCTGCTTCGCATTTCGGGCAACGCAGTTTAAGCCAGAATATAGAATCAGATTCCTCTGTTTCAGATTTGTTACTGATCGACGCACAAACTGAGGTAGTAATCGATGGACAGTTGAAAGCAGCTGAGCAGCTAGGGCATGCTAATGCTAATGGCTCACAGCTTTTATATCTGCGTTTTTAACATGTAAATTACGTTGTTGCACGAAAGCAAACTACAAATGGGATAAGATATTATTACCTTTCTTCATAGCTTGTAGCACACAAGAGGGATGTAGAAGGATCACTGCACGTAGTAACGTTTGATCTGCTTCGATACTATAGAAAAAAGACAAAAAGAAAAAAGGAACACATTATTTCGAATCATTATACACATGGAATTGGAGATTGGCTTAAATGAAAGCTTTACCTTTGATGGGTCAAGTCCTAAACACTCAGCTAACCTCTCAGGACTTGTGCCCTGAATCTCTGCGCATAAACGAGATACCACCAGATGAATCTGCTGTGACAAGTAGTAATCTATGTCAACCAACCATCTGTTGTCATCTGATTTCACCTCATCAGGATGCCTAGCACGTTCGGCAATCCCTGCTGAGCTTGCTAAGCTAGTACTACCCTGCAATGAGGAAGGGTAAGAAATTTAGTAGAAAGACGATTTGGTATAGGATAGTATTAAGCTGGTCTTCTGCTCTGTGTTGGGAACCTGTTCATAGCAGATTATATACGGTACGGTATCCTTAGCACTGAAACCTTTTTTATAACCACGTTGCCTCATTCTGAGTGCGACCTGAGAAAAACAATTCAACCACACAATCAGAGTTCGGAAAATGTGACAACTACAAATTTTTAAACATAATTCCGGTATACGAATAATAGGCTCTCATACTCACCTGAACGTGTGGTTGGCTTTTGGAATCTGGATAAGCTTCTGGTGACTTACTCAATGCCTTGGTGATGACATACTTCTCAAGTGCAACTTGCCCATTTCTCATTTCCTCTTTTATCTGTTGCATGGACAAAGTATCATGTATTGAATGATAAAGAAAAGAAAACTTGCCCATTTCTCATTTCCTCTTTAGTTAAGAAAGATTACCTTCATAAGTTCGTTATGAATTGCTTCAACAACATCCTCACACGACCTGCAAAGAAGACAAGATGTTGTTGAGCTTTGTAAGAGAGAGTACAAATAACGGTTTTAGTGAGTGTTCTAGAACATACCCTCCATACAAGATTTTAGCCAAGCATAAATCTCCAATTTCCTTGGAGAGCAAGCTCCAATCTCGACGAACCATGTCCACACCTTTCCTTTCGATGTCCTGCATTGAGAATGCATCTAGTACCCAAACATTGTTTAAAATAAAAGGTAGTCAGATTGTGTAAATTAGATATTACCTCGCAAATCTTCCCGTCCTTGAACTGCAACTTGATGGCAGCATACTTCTTTTTTCTAAGAAGAAGCATTCTCTTATATATGCAATCAAGTTCAATCTTCAGACATCTATACTTCTTATTGACCTAGAAAGTGAAAAAGAGAAGGTGAGACCCAAATCAAATGTCTCCTATTTTACATTGTAATTTATCGAACTCATGCATCAAGAAACCGAACATCAAAGTTGCAAACATTTAATGCATATTGGTTTAATCATAAAAAGGTTTGAATTAAGGGTAAAAAGCTGGAGATTAATCTATTATCCAACCTACCTCTTGGATGACTTTTGCTCCAATGGCTTTGACCTCTTTTATATCATCTAGTCCACTGTGAATCATGATTGAATCTGTGTCACCATAAATAACCTGCATAACAAAGCAAGAAGTTCAATTTTACACTTGATAAAGCAGAAATGTTGACACATTACATTAATTTCTCTACTGAAGTGCATTTCGTGTGACTTAACGTATAGAAGATACCTCTAGGTTTAAATGATTCTGGACAAGATCCACAGTTCTTTGCAGTATCTCCCTTCCCTGCAATGTTTGGGAATTAACCGGATCACAAAAGAGCAGAGAAAAGCAAAGAAAATTTATCACTAGAAAGCAAAACTTACCTGTAGTGTTATGAGCTCTGCTAAAGGCTTAGCGTAGAATCTTGAATTAGAAAACCCAAGATATCCATATAAACTGCGTTTAGAATAAAACATTAATATCAAAAAATGTAGTGAATACAAACATTATTGCCAGCAAAAGCTAAAATCATAAATACAAACCTATTGGCTGTGAGCTTTAATGCCTTCTGCCGAATGTCAAGCTCCCGGCACTTGAGATCTGTTTCCTTCTTCATCTTTAGTTTGACACATTTCCTTATACTGACCAAATGTTCCATCAACTAAAACAAAGACATGTTGTGAAATTCATGATCTAATCTTTATTAGACTTGGCATAACAGAACAAGGAGAGAAACTCAAAGTCGTGGCACCAAAAAATGCATAGAGCTATTAATTTTTGGTTTGGTTGGCCTGACTTATAAATTTGGTGTTTGAAGACCTATAAAAGATCGAGTACGGGACAGAGAGAAGTCACAATAGAAACAAACTAGTGTAAACATACCTTTGGAAGAATTCCAGGAGTCTGACTAGAAGGTAAACGAGGAACACCGTCTTCTGATCGTGGTATAGTCGTGAAACAAATATTATATTCCTGAAATTACAATGACGATTATGTACCAATCAAGTGGAAACAGCCACCCAAGGCTTGAGAAATAGAAAACAGTCTGCTAACCTGTATAATAGACGGGTAAAGACTACTGAAATCGAGAAGCAACACATATTTGTCATATAAGCCTTTCTTTGGCTCCAAGACCAATCCACCAGCATAGGCTGGACCCTTCTTTGTTTTGTTGCCCTTAGACGGATCATCTACATTGTGGTCTTCTGGACCATGATTGATTCTTCTTTTTGATGACTTTCTTTCCTTCATATGTTGCGATATTTTGTCTGGGAGAATGTACTTTTTCGAGTGGAATGTATGTAGTAAGTAGTATTCATTTCTTTGCGCGCTGCCTCCCTGGTAATTAACCACAAAAAAAATTTGTAAGTCACCAGATAACGTTTCAGACAGAGAGAGAGAGAGAGAGATGAGAGCTAGAACAGGAGTCATTCATTACCTGAAGAGTTTTCCCCCAGAGATTGCCACTTATGTTGGTAAGCTGGAGAGTGAGAGGAAGAACATTTAGATGAAACATGAGCTCCATGGATAACCATGCATCTGTCTCACCACATTCAATCTGAACCGAAGAAAACCAAAAGGTTATAGCAAGCAAGCAACTAGATGCAGTCATCACTTATCAACCTTACGTCACCTGACGATAGGTTATTATTTCGCTTGCAAGGAATCATAACCTATTGTCCCTAGTGAGGTAGTACCAGCTCGGATCCATAAAACAGACAAGAGTGGAGAATCTAAAGAACTTACAAGTTCCACAAGTGTTTTAGATGACTGAAACATTTTGGGAATATCATTAGGCTGTCCCGGTTTAGCTGTGTCTTTGAAAGGTCTATTAACGAATAACTGACCTGAAACAACCAGAAGCTTATAAGTGAGGGACGAAGCTTCAGCTCACTGCTTATAAGAGTTGAGTATCATACCTGCTGCTCCAACAAGTCACGAGAACATAGATCAGTATCACATAAGAGTCTTCCAGCAATGCAAGACATAAGCCCTGGTGTAGCTCCGGACCCAAAATTAGTGTTCCCTTTAAGCTTAGGCATGAAAGAGCGTTTGAGACGGCCTATTTTGGACCATATGTTACTCTTAACTTTGCAAGCCTGCACAGTAATCATTGTTTTTAGAGAAATTATGTTTGTATCTCTGTTACGTCACCATCACAACAGGAGAGACTGAGAAAAGGGACTAAATGATGTACAATGCATAAAATAAGAACTTGCTGGCTTATTAATGTTCTTCTGCATAGAAGACAAGTCCTTACAAAACTAATATAGCATCATAGGGGGAAAAAATGAAAGACACGGCCATTTTCTTTTTAACGGTGATTTTTGCTTTACCTGGGCTCTTCGGAGAAGGACATCCAGATCAAAACCGGATATATTATGTCCTACAAGAACATCACTGTCCAAATTGTTCAACTCATCAAAAAATCGGGTCAGCAACGCGCATTCACTGCAGTAAGAAAAGGAAAACAAATGTTGGAGGAAAGCCAAAGATATCTATGGATCGTAAGCACAGCCTATACAGCAACAGAGCTGAGAAATACCTGTTTTCAAAACTCAAAACACTGCAGCCGTTCTTTGAATTTCTGTCAGCCACTTCTTTTTTCCAACCAATTGGGTAGCCGGTTCCTTCGGGATTCCTGACAACAGTGAAATGACTCAGAACACCAGATCGCTTTCTTTCTGGACCTGGCATTGGAACATCAATCTGAAAGACCAAGGAACATCAAATGTCAAGCTACTCATGTCGACATAAGAGAAAATCGTCCACAAACCAGCTTAAACACACAAAAAACACAGATGGTACAAATAACTACTTGTGACTGGTAATGTCATGATCATACTTAAGAATGTAGTAGCATAACCATCGAGGTGACGAACAACGGGTAAGAAGCTTAGGTCAAATGTTGTAGAACGAACCTTGGCGTTGTGAAAGCAGAGAACAGCCGCGGAAACAATTTCGCTGATGTTCTGCTTCTCATTGACTATAGTCTTTAGGTTAATGGCTGTAACGACAGCAGGAGGATGAACCGTTTTTTCCTTCGGAATTGAAACAGTGATAACCTTGGGAGATTCAACTGTAACCTCACACTTGCACCAGCTCACCTGCACAAGTGTCAAGTCCGCATTACTGGAAAAAAAAAACAGAACTAAAAATCACTAGTTGGATGATCATGGTACTTTTTCAAGGCCTTACTCGTTGAGATGGTGGAGAAAAGACTGAAATTTTGAGCCAAGAAGGTCCCATGATCTTCCTTTTGAGGATAAAAAGCTCCAAAGCACTGCATATAATTTAACTTAATACAAAGGGCCAGTAAATGCACACTCAACTAATCGACCATCAAAAAACTCAGCAGTAAGACGACAAAACCTGGTATGAGAGCCGAGCACAGTGCAAAAAGACTCCCCTTTAAGATCCTCCGGAAGTGGAGGATCCTATGACAACAAAGACAAAAGTGTTATTGTGTTGAGTACGGAAACTACAAAAAACCGAAAAAATAGAGACAACTTTTGAAGCTGAAATGTACCTTAAATGAATAATTTATCTTCAAAACATATTGTTGGCCAGTAGGCACATCAGGCCTGTCAAATGCATAGTTTCTCTGATATTCATTCAAGGAGAGCAGAAGAGAGAGTCAAAAGAAAAGTTTTGCTGCTAGAATACATGAAAAGTTAAAAGTACAGAACCAAACCTTGACAATTGCCATGCTATAATTTGAAACATTGAGTTGTAACAATTGCTGAGAAATTTCCTTCTTCAGTTTTGATGCCATTTCCTGAGAAGACACGGCCAAAAAAACAATATATTACAGAGGAAAACGACTCTGAGCAATAAGTAACACAAGTAGTGAAACTCACATGTAACTTCCCTCGGAAGGATTCAGGAGAAAGTCGAGACTCTTTCACCTCTTGCTCGAGAGTCATTAGTTCATGGGAAGGAAAGATTGAATCATTTGGAATAGCATAAACACATCTCTGGATATTATTAACTACCACACAGCAACTCTTGTACGTATCTCCCTTTTTAACCTGAGAGTGTATCCAAATTAATCCAAAGAAGAACAACTTAAAAGCACAAGTGAATAGAAGAGAGTCACCTTGACCTTCCTTAAGAGATATATTGTACCCATACTAGCGTCAAAAGGCTTCTCGCAAGCGTCAAGAATGTAAAAAAGAAGTGATCCATCAGCCTCCAAATCAAATTCTTCCGTTTGGCATTCAGAATCAGAACCAAAAGCAAGTGGAACCTCATTCTCAGTTCCACCTGTGCACATGGCTTCTTTCCAACCAGCATTGGCTCTTAAAGGCGTGTCCTTGTCTTTCATATCAATTGCTGCATTCAATGTAAAGACCTCATTGGCATCACTTGGAGGGATGACTTCAAATTCTGTCACGACTTGCTCTTTCTCCATGGTAACAATTGAGGGTGAATCATGAACCAGATATTTCTTATTCACAGTAGCTGATTGTTTCCTTCGCTTATGCCTTTCTCTATCCATATCATCAGGAGTAAACTCAGCTAATACCTCATCAAGAATACTCTCACAACATTTGACCTTATCAGTAGTCTCTTTGCCTTTGTAAAAACTTGAACATGTGAACATGGAAGTTAGAAAACACAAAATCTCTTATATCCTTTTTTTGTCTACATATTCTCTTCTTCATTAATGAAATGTTCTACCAATTTCATACCATTCAAATACTTACCATAGCATTTTCCGACGCATTTTCCACTGCAATCTCATCCTCCTTACTCTCATCGGAGGAGGACTCTTCGCCCAAGGATCTACTACCATCATCGGAGGAAGACTCCTCTCTTTCCTCATTCCCTTCCTCATTCCCTTCTTCTTTCTCTTCTTCTTTGTCTTCTTCTTCGCCCTCTTCTTCTTCACTCTCTTCTTCCTCATTTTTCTCAGAGTTTTCTTCTTCCTTGTCAAACTTTACTGGGACTTGTCGTTCTTCAACTCCTCCTCCCTCAATTATATTTTGCTCTGTCGGGTTTGGCTCCGAGGATGGCTGCTCCGAGGATGGTTGCTCAGTTCTCAGCTTTGCTCCTCCATCATCTACATCTTTTACAAGATCCGCTACTCTCTTCCTCTTTTTCCCTTTCCCCATAGTCTTCGTCTTAGGAGACATATCTCAATCGGAACAATTGAAGAGAATCAGAATTTGCAAACCGTTGAAGAACAATTGAATGAGAAAAGGATTCGAGAATCGTGGAGAAATAAAGGAGAGGAGAAAAGAAAACGGTCGGGGTGGGTTCGTGGGGAGAGGAGAAGAGAGTTCTTGGGGAAAGGAGAGAGTGAGTTCGAAAAAAACGAAGGAGGGAGATTTAGGGTTCGTGGGTCGATTGGGGATGTATTTAACCCGGTTTGGATGGTTAGATCCGAAAGCTCTTCGGTTGGGTGGATAAAACCCGGGTTTGTTTTGTAGTTTTCTTGTTTTGCCTAGGGTAAAGAGGTAACTACCCTCAATTTCGATTTAAAATAAAATAAAACTAAAATTCTGTTTTGTGAAGGGAGATATGAGACTTCTGTTTGCCAAAAGGGGACTTGCGAGACATTTTCTCGCACAGATTAATCATCTCATAAGTCCCTTTTGGGAAACACCAAACCTCTTATATCATTTTTTTTGTCTACATATCTCCTTCTTCATTAATGAAATGTTCTACCAGTTTCACACCATTCAAATACTTACCATAGCATTTTCCGGAGCATTTTCCACTGCAATCTCATCCTCCTTACTCTCATCGGAGGAGGACTCTTCCCCCAAGGATCTCCTACCATCATCGGAGGACGACTCCTCTCCTTCCTTATTCCATTCCTCATTCCCTTCTTCTTTCTATTCTTCTTTATCTTATTCTTTGTCTTCTTCTTTGTCTTCTTTTGCGCCCTCTTCTTCTTCACTGTCTTCTTCCTCATTCTTCTCAGAGTTTTCTTCCTCCTTGTTAGACTCCATTGGGACTTGTTGTTCTTCAACTCCTCCTCCCTCAATTATATTTTGCTCTGTCGGGTTTGGCTTCGAGGATGGCTGCTCCGAGGATGGTTGCTCAGTTCTCTGCTTTGCTCCTCCATCATATTTTACAAGATCCGCTACTCTCTTCCTCTTTTTCCCTTTCCCCATAGTCTTCGTCTTAGGAGACATATCTCAATCGGAACAATTGAAGAGAATCAGAATTTGCAAACCGTTGAAGAACAATTGAATGACAAAAGGATTCGAGAATCATGGAGAAGTAAAGGAGAGGAGAAAAGAAAACGGTCGGGGTGGGATCGTGGGGAAAGGAGAAGAGAGTTCATGGGGAAAGGAGAGTGTGAGTTCGAAAAAAACAAAGGAGGAAGATTTAGGGTTCGTGGGTCGATTGGGGATGTATTTAACCCGGTTTGGATGGTTAAATCTGAAAGCTCTTCAGTTGGGTGGATAAAACCCGGGTTTGTTTTGTAGTTTTTTTGTTTTGCCTGGTGTAAAGAGGTAATTACCCTCAATTTCGATTTAAAATTAAATAAAAATAAATTTCTGTTTTGTGAAGGGAGATATGAGACTTCTGTTTGCCAAAAGGGGACTTGCGAGACATTTAAATCATCTCATAAGTCCCTTTTGGGAAACACCAAACCTCTTATATCCTTTTTTTGTCTACATATCCCCTTCTTCATTAATGAAATGTTCTACCAGTTTCACACCATTTAAATACTTACCATAGTATTTTCCGGCGCATTTTCCACTGCAATCTCATCCTCCTTACTCTCATCGGAGGAGGACTCTTCGCCCAAGGATCTACTACCATCATCGGAGGAGGACTTCTCTCCTTCCTCATTCCCTTCCTCATTCCCTTCTTCTTTCTCTTCTTCTTTATCTTCTTCTTTGTCTTCTTCTTTGTCTTCTTCTTCGCCCTCTTCTTCTTCACTCTCTTCTTCCTCATTCTTCTCAGAGTTTTCTTCCTCCTTGTCAGACTCCACTGGGACTTGTTGTTCTTCAACTCCTCCTCCCTTAATTATATTTTGCTCTGTCGGGTTTGGCTCCGAAGATGGCTGCTCCGAGGATGGTTGCTCAGTTCTCTGCTTTTGCTCCTCCATCATCTACATCTTTTACAAGATCCGCTACTTTCTTCCTCCCTTTCCCTTTCCCCATAGTCTTCGTCTTAGGCGGCATATCTCAATCGGAACAATTGAAGAGAATCAGAATTTGCAAACCGTTGAAGAACAATTGAATGAGAAAAGGATTCGAGAATCGTGGAGAAATAAAGGAGAGGAGAAAAGAAAACAGTCGGGGTGGGTTCGTGGAGAAAGGAGAAGAGAGTTCGTGGGGAAAGGAGAGTGTGAGTTCGAAAAAAACGAAGGAGGAAGATTTAGGGTTCGTGGGTCGATTGGGGATGTATTTAACCCGGTTTGGATGGTTAGATCCAGAAGCTCTTCGGTTGGGTGGATAAAACCCGGGTTTGTTTTGTAGTTTTCTTGTTTTGCGTGGGGTAAAGAGGTAATTACCCTCAATTTCGATTTAAAATTAAATAAAATAAAATTCTGTTTTGTGGAAGCTCCTTGGCCCATTGGTTGACCAAGGGTTGATTAATGCTTCTACATCAAGAGGTTTGAGATTCGAGTCCTAGATATTGCGATTTATTAACAAATTTGCAGATTAATAGAGGCAAGTGTGCAGGAGATCTCCAGCGATGTACAATTATAGCCGTTCGCCAGGATTCTACGCAGAGAAGGAAGTGTCGCCAGGTCGTGGATCATTGAAGGTATTCATCCAGATTATGAAGAAGGAAGTGTAG